TGCTTCGGGCTAAATTCTGCCCTCGGGAACATATATCCCATTCCTACTGATTTCAAAGGAAGTTGTGTACCCAGCCTTTGGGGTAGAATCTGCCCTAAATGTTGATGGATATGTTTTAGATCTCAGCCAGAAAACACTTTGGGCCATGCTAGAAAGAACTCTAGGGTAACACAGGCTTGTGGCTGTCTCAGAGCAACCGTATAGCAGACTGCACAGCAGTTATTCAAGCAGTTATGAAAATTATTTGGCAGCCTTCTACCAAAAGCCTTTGGGACTCAGATGTGAAGGTCACACCTCCACTGTCAAGCAGGTACAACATATGCTAATGGGTTCTGCCCAGCTGCGATGAAAGCTTCCATGTTCCTGAACATAAAGCAATGAACATTGTTTCCAGCTGCCACTGCTTTAGCATCATCTTCCCATCACGAAGCTGGACTCTTCTGCATCATCGTCCTTCTCTTCCTCCTCCCCTTCTTCCTCACTGGTCTGTGGCTCTTGAGATTGGTCAGACTCTAAGGAGGAAAGCAGAATGTGCTGATTACATGTAACACAGTGTGCACACCAATATATTAAACAGAAAGGAAACTTCAGAAGTTAGAAAAGGAAGATTTTATTAGGTTACCTACCTTGTCCATTCCTAAAGTGTGATTGCAGGATTGCTCCCTACCATGTATTTACCAACGTCTCCTGATAAGTTTTAAAGGCTCCATGCAATAGGGTTCCAAGTGAAACCATAGGCACAAGTGAACAATTTCTCTATTCGGATATGCCCTCATCCAATATTCACAGCTTCATTTTCTTAATCTTATCCCATTGCTCCCAGTTATTACTAGCACCTCTCAGACCTCTAGGTCAGCGGTGAAAAACTTTTTTTTGAGTCAGGGGCTGCTGACCCATAGAAAAAAAAAAATCAGTTGCTCCCCACATTCCCCTCGCATACCAGAGCTTGGGGGACCAGGCTAGTAGATTTTGGGATGGCGGGTGGGTAGCGCAGGCTCCCCAATGCTGGGGTGGAAGTGCGAGCCTCAGGGGGCCAGATCCAGGTAAGTCAGGGGTTGCATCTGGCCCCTGGGCTGTCAGTTCCCCACCCCTGCTCTAGGTAAACGCCCACTCAAGTTTACAGTTATTTTATTGCTATGCAGGGACTAGTAATCGATTGCCAGGTTTGGCCTTGCTCAGTAGTACATGGAGTTCTTTGGGAGAATGTGAAAAGCAACCCAAGTCTCAATCTGTGGAGAAGGACCATTTCCGAGAACCCCCATGAGGAACTTTGGGCGCAATGGGACCTTGATTCAAAACTCCTCCCTATCGCCCCCTCTCCAGCTCTTGCACCGTAATTTCGTTTGGGACACACTGTGCTCAGCCCAAATGCCAACCCTCATACACAGCATTTATTTTTCAGTAGCTTGGTGCCACCAAGTGGTGAAACTACATGATGTTGCTTGATATTAGACACCCTCAAGTGAAAAAAAGTGAAGGCGACTCCCAGTACTCGAGACTGAAGTCCTATTAATTCAGAGAAGAAGATTCCCTACAGAATGTAACCAATAGCTTCACGCTAGAGGACAGAAGGGACCTTGATAGCTTGACAAAACTTCCAAGATGGTTGCCAGTTACTGCCAGCTGTGATGCTCAAACTAACAACCTAGAGGTGAAAGTCTCCACATCACCAGAGATTGATACAGCAATTCCACCTCCTCCAGTGATAGAAATGTAGCCAAGTTAGTCTGGTGGAGCTGAAACAAAAAACAGGACGACGTAGCACTTAAAAGACTAACAAGATGGTTTATTAGGTGATGAGCTTTCGTGGGTCAGTCCCACTTACTCAGATCGAATCTGAGGAAGTGGGTCTGGCCCACGAAAGCTCATCACCTAATAAACCATCTTGTTAGTCTTTTAAGTGCTACATAGTCCTGTTTTTTGTTTCACCTCCTCCAGTATGTAACCAGTTAAACAGGACACTAGGGAAAAAAAGCGACTCTGAAATTTACTTTGCTCTCATGATCAAGCAACAAACTTGTGAACTGATAACACAGGACTAAATCCATCTGTAGTGTCGTTTCAGAGGACTCATGGCCAAGATTAGTTTGACTCCCTCTTTCAGTAAATCACAGGCTGGCAAATGTCAGGGTCAAATAAGCATGTGTTTTAAAAGCAGAAATACAAATGAAGTCAAAGGTAGGTAGAAATGCCAACCAACTCTCATATCCAGCAACACTGTCAGCATTGCTATAGCCCTCAACAACTTCCTGTGTAATAACACAGCAGCACTTTGTGGCTTGAATTATTTCTTAAAAAAAAAAGGGGGGGGGGGGGGAAGTAGCCCAGGGCAGGACTGTGCTAGGTTTGTGGGCTGACAAGCTCCGGCGGGACGCCCCCGTCAGCCAGACCGGACCCAGAGGGGTCCGCGTCCTTAGGGCCCTGGGCTGGGGCCCGTGAGTGAGGGCAGGCCTGGGCCCTGCTCTCCCCCCCCTCCCCCGAGGAGCAAGTACCCCATGACTGGGGAAGAGAAGTGATGAAACCCCCCCTTTTTTTCAGACCCCCTAGTATGCTCCGAGCAGGGGCATTGAGCCGTGAGGAATATAGACAGACTGGCCAGGGAAGCCAGTCAAGGACAAAACTACGGGTGAGGTGGTGGGACGTTCGGGACAGTTTGCCGGGCCGGGGAGAAGACAACCGAGAGGTCTGTCTCGGCTCGGTCACAGATGCACTAACAGGAGTGTGGTGAGCAAGACATGAGAAGTCATTCTTCTGCTCTACTCTGCGATGATTAAGCCTCAATTGGAGTATTGTGTCCAGTTCTGGACACCAAATTTCAAGAAAGATGTGGAGAAATTGGAGAAGGCTCAGAGAAGAGCAACAAGAATGATTAAAAGTCTAGAGAACATGACCTATGAATGAAGACTGAAAGAATTGGGCTTGTTTAGTTTGGAAAAGAGAAGATTGAGAGGGGACATGATAGTGGTTTTCAGGTATCTAAAAGGTGTCACACAACGAGGAGGGAGAAAAATTGGTCTCCTTGGTCTCTGAGGATATAACAAGCAGCAAGGGAGGTTTAGGTTGGATAATAGCAAAAACTTCCTAACTGTCAGGATGGTTAAACACTGCGGCTGTGTCTAGACTGGCAAGTTTTTCTGCAAAATCATCTGCTTTTGCGGAAAAACTTGTCAGCTGTCTACACTGGCCACCTGAATTGCTGCAAGAACACTGACGATCTCATGTAAGATCTTCAGTGTTCTTGTGGAAATACTGTGCTGCTCCCGTTCGGGCAAAAGCCCTCTTGCGCAAATCATTTGCGCAAGAGGGCCAGTGTAGACAGCACAGTACTGTTTTCCTCAAAAAAGCCCCAATGGCTAAAATGGCGATCGGGGCTTTTTTTGCAGAAAAGCGCATCTAGATTGGCACGGACGCTTTTCCACAAAAAGTGCTTTTGCGGAAAAGCGTCCTGCCAATCTAGACGTGATTTTCTGAAAATGCTTTTAACGGAAAACTTTTCCGTTAAAAGCATTTCCGGAAAATCATGCCAGTGTAGTCATAGCCTGCCAGTTGCCTAGGGAGCTTGTGGAATCTCCATCTCTGGAGATATTTAAGAGCAGGTTAGATAGACATCTATCAGGGACGGTCTAGATGGTACTGGGTCCAGCCATGAAGGCAAGCGCCTGGACTCGATGACCTCGAGGTCCCTTCCAGTATTCTAGGATTCCTTTTTTTAAAAAAAAATACTCTAATTCTACAAGGCCTCAGTTTCACTGAGCCAAAGTAGTTGCCACATTGTCCCCTTAGGAAGACACTTACTTTGCTGCATGTAAGGAGCAAACAGAATCAGTGGGTATGTCAGCAATATTCTGAACGAAGCGCAACATTTTCAGAAGCACCTAAGGCAGGCAGGGGAACCTTTTTTGGTCAGGGCCACTGACTAGGGATGTAAAAATCCCAGTTAAAATGTTAACAGGTTAATCTAGATCTACTGCATCACACTGCGGGTGGTGGTGGTATCGCATCGCCGAAGTGGCTCCCACAGCATCATGGGCCAAGCTGAACTAGAGTAGTGGGCAGGGGCACTGGTCCAGCTGGGCCCAGCACCAGCTAACCAGTTACACCAATAAGCATGCCAATAAGGCAATACTTACCAGGTAACCTGTTAACCGGCTACCCCTACCACTGGCCCACAGTTGGGGGCCCACACACAAGCAGAAAACCTCCCAAACTGTCATTACTCACTTGCTCTCAAGATGGGAAGCAAAACCAAACAAAAACACGCCACCACCCCTCACTCAGAGTTAACCTGGCATACATCATGCTCTAAAAGGATGTTAAGAGGCAGTTAATTGACTAATTGTGTAGTCGATACAATTAACTTTGACTATATAATTAGTCGGTAAGGGGCCCCACTGTGGCTCTGCAGTTTAAATGTAGCAGGAGCCGGGCATGCAGGCAGCCCAGCTCCTACTACATTAAACAGAGCCTCAGCAAGGGTAGGTCTGGGACCTGGCTCGAGCTGGGACTGAGCAGTCCCGGCTCCTTCCAGGTCCTGGACTGCTGAACATCTGCCTCCCTAGCCCCCCACCTGCACCATGGTGGAAGGAACTGGTTTTTAAGATGGCTCCCCCCAGCACCGGTTCCTGCTCCCCCCCTTGCTGCCTCTGATGCAGAGGCAGCGGGGGGATAGGGGAGATGGAGCAAGTAGTGACTCTAGTCACTTACATTCCTAGCGCTCTAGCCCCATGGGGAGGGTGCTGAGATCTGCAGCTGCCCTACACAGTGGAGCAAGCTAGCATTTTGGCCTGCTGTGCCGAGACATGCTGCAGGCTGGATCAAATTAAGTTGCAGACCACCAAAGGTTCCCCACCCCACACCCACCCCGCACCCTACGGGTATGTCTACGTTGTAGGAAGGAGGTTGCTTCCCAGCCCAGACAGCTGCACTAATTCTGCTGGTTTTAACCTGCTATCTTGAGCAACGTGGATACCGCAGTATGGGCCGTGGCATTGGCTGAGTCCACACCCCATCCAAACCCTCTTGGTCTGTATTCTGGTGGTAAGTCTGAGCTGTTATGTCCATACTGTTAGTGCACCAGCTGTAGCAGAACACGCATGTCTGTCTGCCCTGGCTGCTGCACAAACATACCCCACATGATTTACTAGCCTAGCTCCCATTCTCAGTGAATTTCCACGTGGCTTTTGAAAATTACACTGAAATTTTCAGTTTGACTAGCTTGTCCTCTGCCACACAGACACAAACTGCAGGCTCAGCAGTGGACATATAAAATCAGCTGTTGTCCTTGTATTACAGAGCACAACTGAGACCTGAGAAAGGGGAAAACTCAATTCCACTGACCCTCTTGTGGTTTCTTTTGATCAAGTTTACTTTTCTTAGCCAGCAGTTTCTTCTCTTTTAACTTCTGGCTGCAAAACAAGAAAAATGCTTGTGTTGGTGCAAATGGAAGCATTTAAATCTTTTTGTACATTTTAATGTGTTAGATGAGGTGTCGCTATCAGGTTTGACACTTGAATCTTGACAAATTCAGGTCAAATCCGCTCAATTTTCCATTTAGTGAGAGTGAAGTTTCACAAAACAAGACCAACAGAAACATTCAAGTTGTTTTTATTCCATCTTGGAACTTCCATTTTCGGCTGCTCCTGTACAAACTGAGGTTGCCAGTCTCCCAGGAAAATAGCTAAAAATGGAACATGAAACAAAAATGAACGCAACTCATTTATTTTCATTATCCAAGGTAAAAAAAAGCCCAAAAAGCAAACAGAAAGGTGAAGTCAGCTGATTAAAGCTGAACATTTAAAAAAAAAGGGAAGGTGTTATCAAGAACAAGGTTTTAACTTAAAATTATCTCTAAGGACACTGATTTATTACTGACTCATCTCCCCATCGGTGTGGGGAACACCTGTAGGAGCAGGATGGAATTTCCTTCTCCATGGCTTATTCTCTTCTTGGCCCTTATGTGAAGGATGCTCACAAGGTACCAGTTAGAGTCAAGAGTGGCATGGCTGTTGGCAATGTGGATACTTATGCTCAAATACATTAACTGAGACAAACAACTAATTTTGCAGACCTTTCAACAACAGGTGGCACCTTTCAGTCACTAGAAACCTGAAAACTGGCTTCCAGTGGTGGTGAGCAGAAGCTGTCAGGGCTCAACATCTTTGAAAATTGAGTCCTCTCAGTTGCCCTGGTGTTTTTAAAAGGCATAGAACTAAACAGTACAAAATTCACATGCCTCCATCATTCCTGTTCAATTCCTGGAGGAATTTAGCAGTGTCAATCTTATACATACTGATGGATAGCAGTCAGTTATAATGTGGTTTTAAACATTTTAATTAGTCAGTGGTTCCATATACTTAATATATTTTCACTCACTACTGGTATATAGAGCACATACTCAGTACTGGTGACTTAAATAGACTACAGATCCGTTTTGCTATGTAAATGGGTACGGCTTTCTGAACATCCACATAAAACAATAAGCTGAATAAATCATGTTGACTTACACAGAAGACTGAGCTACAAAGTCATCAGCCTTTTTCCTGTAGACTCATATCCCTGCAAATACCCAAGATGCACAGTCATTTTCTCAACTTAAAAGTTCTTGGCTCCGAGCACTACAGATACTCATTTAAAAGTGTAATGGAGACACTTTTGAAACTGGTCTTTGTAGCCAGAAATCAGAGCTGAAAGATCTGGACAGCGGAAGACAGCATTGAGCCACAGTTCATAGCTACGGGCAGATCATAAAGCATGTAGCGTTCCTGTGCTCAGTCTCCCAGGAGCATTTGCCCTTACCGCTTCCTTCTGCGTTTTGCTGTTTGCTCCTCTGCAATCATCTTATTCTTCTCCAGTTTCTTCTGGTATTCGTCATCTAGTTTTTGCTGTAATTGATTGTGTGATATTTTGGTTACAATTTAAACAATGTGATTATATAAATGAATGTAGGGAGAGATCTCAGACACAGTGGGGAGATTTGCCAGCGGGTTTGCTGTGGGTGCTTTTTTAAATTAAGTGTGTACTGATAAGAATAACGTTGTACGTAAAATTTAATAGCATAAGCCGCATTCCAAGACCTTTAGCTGAGGGGAGGAGGAAAAGGGTGGAGACTTAATCAACATGAAGACAGCAAGAACCTGAGGATTTGGCCCTATAAAGTTCTATAAGAGACATGAGGGAATTATATGGAAGATATCAGCAGCACCATACAAATATTTGAAAGATTTGCTGAGAGGGGGAATCAAATGGGGACAAAGGTCCGTGGGAGAGCAGTGCTAAAGTATTGCAGGTCCAGGACTTAAGTGCAAGTTCAGGAGTGTGCAATTTTTGATTCCTGACTTCAACAAGTGTTTGTTTTGATGCTGTCTTTGTAAACCAAGTAACCAATGTGGCTCCTTTTGTTGACTGGGAAGAATCTACTCATGTTTCTATTGATTTTTAAAGCATTTTAAAGTCATATTTGGGAATAGGGGCACAAGAGCTCTGGCTTAGTCCACCTCCAGCCAGGTCATCCCCTACAGCAGTAGTCTTTAACTTTTTTAAGCACAAGATCACTTTTTGAATTTAAGTCGGTCCAGGATCTACCACAAACACAAATACCCCCTACCCCACCCCTTTCCTGAGGCCCTGCCCTCCTCACTCTGGGAAGATGGGGTACAGCGGAGGGGGAGTGTGACATCAGTGCCCCTGTCTCCCTCACTCTGCACAACAAGCAGGAGGCTTCCGGGGGACAGCTGAGGCTCTGGGCAGGAGCAGCAGGGCAGTGCAAGGAGGGGACACTGAAATGCCAGCACTTGATAGCCTCCCAGCCAAGCCAATCAAGATCACCTGTCAGATCCTGAGCTACTAGTTGGTGACCATTGCCCTACAGAGAGAATGACACGGGTCTTATGCAATAAGCCTGCTGTGTTAATGCAGGTTTTCCTGGACCCCACACATCCCATATTAGGAAAACCAGCCAGTTCGAAGTGAATCCGATTTCTCTCTCACTCAAAAAAAAATGCAATGAACACTGAGCAGTCGGACAACGGACTGCAATAAGGGGCCCACTTACTTTCTCAGCCATGGCATCCATAAAGTCCTGCCTCTGGTACTCTCGCCGACGCAGATGTCGGTACACATGGAATTCCCCACTGCCGGCTCCAGCGCTAGAACCTGCCAATGGCACAGGTGTCAGTAGACAGTCTGCTACTCAGAGAGCAAAGGGAATGATCCATGGTGCAGCAGCAGAGTCTGGTGTGCTCTGCAAGGACTCAGCAGCTCTGGGGCTTGTCTTTGGAGACCGAGTTGGACAAAATTCCTGTTTTAAAATGACTAAGAGGCTAACATCTAAGATGCTCCCACATGGAGGCCAATGGGCTATAGCTGACAGACATTGTAGGAAGTAAAGACCATCACAAGTTTGCCCAGCAAATATGCTGTTACCACCGGTTAACCAATTAAAGGGGATTTTACATCCTAGCACAGATGTTTATTATGCATCTCAGTTTCCCACCTTCTGAGACATAGGGATAATACACTCACAGAAGGAGCTATGAAGTCTGAATTTGCATTTCCAAAGCACTTTGAAATCCCAGAGAAGGGCAGATCCTTCTCACTATCAGTACTGCTGCACTTGCCTCTACCCACACAGTGCAGACAAGCTTTCTGGGGAGGCTTAGGTGCTGTTCACATTATACTCTGAAAATAATCAGCCACAACGTAGACCAGCGATGGGCAACCACAGAGTAGGCACAAGTGGCCCTCCTTCACCTCCGTGGACTGCAGTCCACCGGGGTTCTGCCTGCAGCCCAGCGGTCTCCATCTGCCTCCTCCCCGAGGCACCACTCGCATACTGGGGCACTAGCACCCCCCACTTCCTACATCTCCACCTCCCTCCCAGCACATTCGGGGCACCACCAATCACCTGATTTGCGCTCCATCCCTGCTTCTCCCCCTCCCTCCCAGAGCTGGAACAGATCTAAACAGATGATTTGTGGCATTCCAGCTCGGAATAGGGAGGGGGCGGGAGGCGTAGGAAGTGCAGGGCTCCAAGAGGCATATTGGAGGAGCAGGGCAGACTTGGGTCTGTGGGCTGCAGGTGGAGCCCCAGTGGGCCACACACAGCCTGCAGGCTGCCCACCACTAATATAGACTAATAAAAAGACCATTTGGAAAAATGCCACCCAACTCACATTCCAGGCTCTTTTCTTACCAGAGGTGGACAGCAGAAGAGCACTTGCACTACTCTTTATTACACACTCATCTCAGGTTAGGCCATTCGCTCTAGAGTTATCAGAAGAACAGCATCCTTACCCATAACATCTCTCACAAATTCCGGGGGAGGGCGTGGGGCCCATTCATTTAGTTTTTCAGGGATTGGAACAGTCTTATCCTACAATAAGACATAAGCCAACCATGAATTTCTCATTATAAAATGTTGATATCCACACAATGGTGGAATCTCTCCATGTCACCACAGACCTTAGAAGAAGTATAACTGTGCCAGCAATTCTCCCTCAGTGGAGGAAGAGGAGTCAGGGGATACCCCCAGAGAGGGATGTAAAAACTGAATAAAAATATTAACTGGGCACCTGATAAAAATTCTATCAGTTACACAGTTTAACTGCTGCCCCTTCAGAGTTCAATCATTAACAGTAGCCGATAAGCATCGTGTTATTGGTTAACCATTTAAACTCTTAAATCCCTATTCCCAGAATGAGAACTGGAGGTCGGTGTCAGCCCTCCTTTCTCCACTGCATCCCACCCACTGAATCTGGGATTCCTCCCAGCATACAGAGTGGAGGGTTATGGTCAGGGCTCTCTGTGAGATGTACATTTGTGTGATTTCTCAGGAGAGATTCAAATGCTCAGGTGATTGGGAGAGCGCCCACAAGCAGGTTTTTGTTTCTCTTGGTGGCATCCTTTTGCACATATAAAAAATGATTCCACACATGGATGGAAAAGATGTATGGAGCCACAGTGGGCCACTTAGAAAAGGATATGAGAGAATCAGTCCTCTAGAGGGGAAGAATCAGGGTGCCCCATGCACAAAGGGGACCCCAGCAAAAAGGGTAAAGGGGGATTAGTCCGGAGAAAGGGTGCTTGGTCCAGGACTCCAGCACAAGGAGGGAGGTCAGGCCTGAGGACGACCCAGTCTTGAAGAGGTTTGTTTCGGTCACCATCATAGAGAGCAAGATCAGTTTGGAGAAAAGGGCACCAAGGGAGGAGATCAATGCAGAGGAGGTTAGGGTATCCTGGACAAGGAAGGAGAATGAGTTCCCCACATAGGAATCCAGGTGCCCTAGGACAGAGCTGGAAGCGACAGTACCAGGTGGAACCAGTCCTCAGTCAGGAAAGGGAGCTTGATTGTGAGGGGGGGGGAGGGGAAGGGTTGTGACAGGAAGGGAGGATCAGTCCTGAGGCTGGGGTTCCTCCAGAGAAGGAAGAGGAATCAGGTGCAGAGAGGGAACCAGGATGTGTCAGAACACGGGCTGGGCTGGGCAGGAGACGGACAGTGCTAAGGAGCAATCGGTGGGGCACGGGAGGGCAGTCATTGCACGAAAAGGGTGGGCAGCTGGGGGTGGTATCAATTGGGAGAGGACGCTTTGGGTTGCCCCAAGGGCAAGAACGGGACCCACTCCCAGAGGGGAATCACAGGAGTCCAGGATGGAGCTGAGGGAACAGCACCAGGTCGGTCCAGGAGCCCAGCACTAGAGAGGTGCCACGGGTCAGTCCCAAGGATTGTCACGCCAGGAGACCAGTCGGGGGGAGGAAGGGGCACAGATCTAGGGCTCGGTCCCAGGCAGAGGAGGAAGGGTCCAATTCAGGGGCTGGCTGGCGCAGGGCAGGGGCTGGTAGCAGGGGTCCAGGAAAGGGGGGACCAAGCCTGGGGCCCTGTAGCAGGTGGGGGGCTCAGCATTGAGGGACCAGGCCAGGGGGCCCGTAGCGGGAGGGGCCGGGC